TTGATATAGAGAATTTTTTTTAATAGGTGGTAAGAATCTTTGAATTTTTCTTTAATCGGGGATATTTTTTTGATTGAGAATTTCATTAGAGAATTGTTTGTTGAAAAATTTTTTATTTTTTTTTTTAATAAGTGTATCGATAATTTTGGCTTGAAAATTTTTTTTAATAAAGAATTTTATTAGAGATCTTTTTTTTTAAAAAAAATTGATTGAAAATTTATTGGAAAATTTTTTATTAAATTTATAATTTTAATAAATTTTTACTCCTCTTCATCTTCCCATCACTTCTTTTCATCTCTCATCGCTCCTTTTTGTCTCCCGTCACTCCTTTTCGTCTCCTATCGCTTCTTTTCGTCTCCCATCACTCCTTTTTATCTCTCATTATGTCCTATCCGTCCACCGACTGACCATCTCTATTCTTAATTCGTATTTAATAATATTTATATTAATCATTAGTCCATACGTAATAAAATCCTGGTATATATTATATGAACCGAAAAAGTAAAAAAAAAAAAGATGGAGAGATCATAGTTAAATTAAAATTTCTTTTTATTTTAAATCACTAAATCTGTAATTTATTATCAAAGCTTAAACAAATAGATTTTAATCGATTATTTCTCTATATTTAATGAATATTTATAACTATGTTTAAACTTTCAGATATCCCAAAGCATCAAAATATATTTAAAAGTTCGATGAACATTTATTTTATTACTTGACAAATAATTGACTTTATTCTTAAAAATATAAAATCACATGTTAAAAATAATATGTCACACGTATTACTAATAAAAAGTTTAAAAGGTATCTTGAGCTTAAGTTTTTGCAGCTATTCACTTGAAAGATTGAAAGATTGGATAGAAAAAACAAGTATTTGCGGCCTTTAAATATTATATAACATGATGAAGTCTAGCTTTAAAAAGAAATAAAACATTGAATTGACTTGCGATAAGTATGATATATATTTTACCTCACTTAATTATCTATTAAAAGGCTTAGTATTCTCTTCCACCATCAATTATTCCATACCAATTCATTTCATCGGAATAATCTGGAACTTCGCCTTGCTTTCTGGAAAATCTTTCTTCTAAATCTTCATTAACTTCATAAGTCTCTGACTCTTCATAGTTTTTATTATAGTTGCTTGAAGATTTGTTGGATTTTTTTTTGTACGCTACTGTTTCGAACCCGTCATTAAGTTTTTTGGTGTGTCCTAATTTTTTGAACCCATCATCCTTAACTTTTGTAATTTTATTATTTTTTCGCTCAAAATAGTAATTTTGTGCAGTAATATTGAACCCATCATCTTTAACTTTTTTAATTTTATTATTTTTTCGCTCATTTTGTGCAGAAATATCCTTCATCAAGTCGTTTAGTTGATTTCTTGCTTCATCAATTCTATTTTTAAATGGTGGACCTTCTTTTTTCTTGTTCACGCTAATTGAAATTTGTTCTGGTTTTGTTGTTTTATCAATGTAAATGTTTGTACCAGTTCTTTCAGCAATGGGTTTTATATTACGACCTTCACGACCAATTAATTTACCAATCTCAATTTGTTGAGGAATTGGAATATTCAAACTTTTTATGTATTCGGAGCGTTGCATTTTGTTAAGAGAAAGAATGTTTTTTAGATATATTATATTACGAAAGTTTTTTACTCGATGAGAAAAGATTTTTTTTTTTTAGATACATTTATGTAAATAACTATATATTCATTATTCGTGAACAAAGACGAATTTTATTTAGGAATCTTATAACATGAGATTGTCACACTATATTAACAACCATTGTGATTTTTGTACTATCGAAAAAACTTCATTGTATTACATAATTTTTTTACTATTGTTGTTTTTCTGTTACATAATTTTTTTGCTTTTGTTGTTTTTCTGTTGCATAGTTTTTTTGCTTTTGTTGTGCATCATCTCATATTATGGCATTGATCGTTCAGCCCAATTACTACAACTATAACTTATTAAGTAATTTGTTGTTGATCATGTTTTAATTTTCAAAACAAAAACAGTCACCTTCTGCTTGCTGATCAGCCAGGCACGGCTTATTAAGAAATAGATCTTTTGTAGAATTCCGAAGTTCCTGCTGAATGATCGATAAATCATACTCTTACTTGTAAAGATGTTATTGGCCCTGCAGGGTCTTTGGAATATTTGAAAAAGTAGCTACAACTGCGCCTTAAAATTTTGTGGCACAATAGATTGAGGACAAATAAACAGTAAACTTTTATCTCAATCTAATCAATCAGTTAGAATCTAAGGAAAAAAAATATTTTTTTTACCCGGTCTTTTAACATTTTATCAGATGTTGATCTACGCCACGTCACCACGGGGAGGCAACCTGATAATTATTACAAACATTCCCATATAGAGAACATTAAAAAAAAATTATAAATTGTTTAATAAAAAAAAAACTACACTTTAGAGTTTTTCTTTTTAAAAATAAAGCCATTTAAATATTCTTTGAAGCAAAGCTGATTATTTTTTAAAAAAAGTTTTTCTGATTATACCTTTTTTTTAATATGTTTTTTAATTTGATTTTTCATAATGTAGTTAGCCGTAAAACATCTAGTTTAATCACAAAAATTTACATAAAAAAAAATATTTATAGCTCTCCTCATTTTACGCAGTAAATTTTTTTGGGGGTTCTATGGATTAAAATAACGTACCACACAACAATAACTGAAATAATGTGTATATTGATGTTTATTTTGATATTTCAAAACGTACAGTATATCCTCTTTTTTCACTTTTCTAAAGTATTTTCGGAGATACAGTATGTCCGAATTGACAAGTAAAATCATACGATATTTAACTTTTAGACTACATTCATGTATTTTTGTTAACAGATTATGGTGTTGTATAACAATTCAAACTCCAGCATTATTTGAGAATTTTCAATGTTACCAGTTTTTAAAAATATACACGGGCGAATTACTGTATGTATATATCACCATATAGTATAATGAACATAATCCTTACAGTTTTAGATAGTAAAATTATTGTAAAATATTTAATTTAGACAACATTGTAAAGCAACGCAGTAAGGAGTGGAGTAATTAATTAATCATGTGAAACCGCAACAATCATGTGATCAGAGCAGCAATCAGGTGATTGTGTAACAAGTGAAATTAAAGGTTAGAAATAATTGTTCAAATATTGGTTTCCATCGCTTTTTATTTGTTTCCTTTCTTGGTCTGTGTTTCATTCCTATTTCCTTCATTATTTCCTACGACGGAATTTTAGTAATTACGCCCACACTCAAAAAAATGCTTTTTCTAGTTAATCATAGTATGCGTCTTAACTAAATAAGTAAAAAATAATAAAGCCGATTTTTTAATTACATACAGTATTGTTATACATTAGCTCTTCGATAAAGAACTTTTAAATTTAAACCGGATTTTTCCGTTATTAAAAATTCCATGAGAAAATATAGAAATACTTTCGTATCACTAACAGAAAGTTCCATCTTTACCAAACTCTTAATAGTGTATCATTCAGATTTCAGATATAAATAAAATACGTTCAAATTTTTTCAAATTCATTATCATTATTGATACTTGTTTATAACATATACTAATAATTAACATAATAAAATGGAATTTGTGAATATAAATGATGAAAATTCATTTGACCCGACGCCAAGATTAAAATCTAGTCCTATACCAATTAAATTTCTTTCTTTTAATAGAGAAGATGAAAAGTGTTTTAATTGTGGAGAAGAATATATTGAGACAATTCTTTGTTCTTGGCAAAATTATTGCAAAAAATGTTTATCGCGTTATATTAATGATATAACTGACAATAATAATACATACTTGGACGTATATATTTACACAATGGACTTGGAATGTAGTAATTATGAAATAAGTAGGACAATAGTATCACAAAATATTCAAGATTTTTGTGGAAATTGTGAGAGAATTATATGCTTTAAACAAATAGATGGATGTATTAAAAGTGAATATAGTACTGATAACGATAATAAAGTGGTTGAAAGGCTGGTTGGAAGTGAACAAGATTGTAAATTATGCGGAAAGTCATTATCACTCACATATAAAGCATTTCATTTTCTTGCATTATGTTCGGATTGTTATCTAGTTTTTTCTGAATGGATAGAATCAACTTTGGTTAAAAAGCGAATTTTGATTCTTTACTTACCATGGTGGTATAATGAATCTTTATGTTACACATGTCATTATAAATTAAAGTTAACATTTACATCAGACTGTCAAAAGTATTGTGTACACTGTTGTATATTTTATGTTGGATGCAGATATTGTTAAACAACAAACATTATTTTTGGACCTATACTTGAATCTAAATGTAAAAAATGTAAAAGAATATTACTTATCATAAATAGTAGAGAATACAGCAATATTGATGATTTTCTTTTTAATAATGTTTTACACGGTAACTTTGAGTTAGCTGACACTGTAAATATTGCAAAAGATTTTGGTAAACATTTTAACATATTGGACATATTCTTTTCTCTATTTAAAACACGAAAAAGTGAAAAACAAATGAATTGGATACCATATTCTCAATTTAAAGATGTAAAAGAAATGACAAAAGGAGGGTATGGTATTATACATAAAGCAACTTGGTTAAGTAATAATGAAACTGTCATTTTAGAAAGATTTGAAAATTCTATAAATGGTAGTAACCATTTCTTGAATGAGGTAAATACAGTATTTTAAATATTTGTTGAATAGTTTTTTGTTAAAATTAATCTTTAATTAAAATCTAGTTAAAATCATATCAACGTTGTTTTGACGAATCACTTCGTGCTCACATAATCAAAATTTATGGTTTTACAAGAGATCCTGAATCAGAAGATTATATATTAGTTATAAAATATGCGTCAGAAGGACTTACAAAAGAGCTTTAAAAATAGATAACGGAAATCTTAGGTACATGCATATATATAATCACGTGATAATCATTTGATAAAGTGGCTTAGCAAAAATTCGTAAAAACATTTTCAATTTCAAGTTTTATTTCGTAATTAGACAAATACGCAATTACACACACACATACACGCATATCTATATACTCAGTAATGAATTTATATGACTTCTGTAAAATTTTATTCCCTATCCGAAATAACAACCCATGGCTCAAGTTCCATTTCGCTATATGACCGTTTTCGTTGAGAAGGAAGAAGAGAAAGATCGTCAAAAGCTGAACTTTGTTGTTTCTTAGGTCTTCCACGGGTAGTAGGGTGCATTAACACAATCATAGGATCATTATTTATTGGTATTAATCGTTTATGGTTTACTAAAAAAGCGAGAGTAGGGAAATATTTTTGACAGACAGGACAGCAAAGTCGTAAGTATGTATTTTTTTCCATAGACTCACAGTGGGCATCATAACCAGGTATTTTCAGGAGATCTCCATACTGAAGAAGGTGAATTGGGTTTATAAATCGTCCATCTTTCGCTTTTGTGACTGGTGGTAAGAATCCATTATGAAGATGAAGGAAATCCATGGCTTCTTTGGCTTTTGGTGGTCCACAGCAACTGCGATTTGTACATCGTTTAATATCAAGAGAATAGGTGCATAAATTGCAATGATTTTCGATCCAAGACCATGGTACAAAACATTCAGAATTACCATGTGTTTCTTTATCTTGTTCTTTCAATTTTTTTTGTTGTTCTTTCTTTCTCCTTTTTGATTTTTCAACCATCTCTTTTTCTGTCCCCTCAAATTGTATGTGCTCAAATGGATTTGTATGCATATCAACATAGCAAGCGTCAACCTTCTTTCCAAAAATTAAATCACGACGCCAAATTTCACAAAGAGCTTCTCCTGAATAACGAAAATTTCTGGCAGCTAATTCTGGGTTTATTACTTTGCCTTGTGAATCCAAATGTTTACCAAAATGGTCAATTGGCAAAGTGATACCAGCGAGTTTACCAGAAAGTGTTGCCATACCTCTTTCAACTGGATTATACTTTGATTGACCTGGAGCATGAGTACGTATACTTAAAAAATCTAAATCAAATTTCCTGAAGAGCTGACAATATGTTTTTATATTTTTCAAGTGTCTAGGATTCTCGTCTGGCCCTCCATCTACTAATAAAATCCATATTGGTCGGATCATTCCATTGGTTTTCAGTGCATCATCATACTGAGAATTTGAAGCAAGGCTTTCCAGATCTTGCATATGCGTTAGTGAAGATGTGCCAAGAGACCACTGAGGACGTATAAAGATTGCCAATTTACCCGTTCGTAATTCATCATTAGATTCATTTGGATTTATTATCAAATATACTGAGGGAATTAATTTTTGTCCAAATCCAATAGGAAAGTCATGATCTGCTATAGTTGCAGGTTCGTTAACAGACTGTAATTTGTGAAATGTGTGTCCTACTGCTGGTACGCCAAGTCCGATCTTTGCCTTGTCATCTTGGGATATAACAACTGATACATCAGCAAAAGTGCTAGTAAATTGTTTTGCACATTTTACTGATGCAAGACAATAATGGGTATCAGGATGTTCATTTGTTTCAGTACGTGATACTCTAGCAACTGCAACCCATGCTGGATGATGATGGGCTTTTGCGGCGAGTGAATTTGATTGGTGAGGTAAAAGGTAACTTTTCAATGTAGTTCTTGCCATGTAAATCTCATACCTTTCTTCAAGATTTTTACGCAGATTTTCTATTGTTCGAACTTTAATAGCCTCTTTACGTCGTTCTGCATCAGCTGATCCAAATTCTACACAATCATGTATACGATCATGTAAGTCTGGATTTTTGAAGAGGAGAGATGGCCTTCCAGGTTTATCATAACGAACAACTTCTTTTTTTTCAATAAGTTGTTTTAATTTTTTTTTCTTTACAATTCTGAGCATATTTGGCGTTTCTTTTTAACTTAGCAATTCTATCCTTATTAGATTTAACTACATCCTGCAAGCTTTCTATTTTTTTATACATATCATCCCGAATCTGTGCATCATTGGTAATATTGTAAATCTGCTCATATTCATATATTTGTTTTTCTGCCATTTGGATTGCATTAGCTGCACTTTTTTGAGCCGAGGCATTAGCAGGAATCTCTGACAAAGGGTCTACTGAATGAATGGTGGAAGGAGAGGGCAAAGAATTTGATTTTTCTATTGGCACAGAGTGTTTATATCTCATTGATTGTATGTCAAATAGATTAATAGGTGTGGCCATATAGTTTCGTATTATATTATCAATTTCATCAATACTTCTTTTCTTAATATTATTCCACTCATTTATGGCTTCGCGGCAAACAGCGGCACGATCTGGAGTAGGGATTGGAATCGATTCAATCGAAAATCGAATCTTGAGAATCGATTAAAGATTCGATTTGACGATTCGATTTTCGATTTCGATTAATCGAATCTAAACCGAATCCCATTTGCGTCGGAGTCACGTGAAGTTACACAAATTTCCAAAAAAGGAAATTTTGGCTCCCCGGAAATTTCGGAAAATCACGAAATTTTGGTTACATGGATTTCCAAAAATGGAAATTTTATGACGATCATTTAATTCTGGCCAGAATTAATGAATTAAGATTTTAATGGAGTAAATGGGCGGCAAAGCATATTAATGGTGATATTTATGTAGTATATATGTTTGATCATCATTTTTCAGCAATTTTGATAATTCCGATATTATTTTTTTTACCGTAACGTAGTTATAGAAATGACATGATTACTTTTATTGTGCCATAATATAAAAAAAATTGATTTATTGAGATTCAATTTTTAGATTCGATTAATCGATTCTACAGATACGATTCGATTTTTGATTAATTCGATTTTGGTAGAATCGATTCCAATCCCTAATCTGGAGTTTGATTACTTGTTTTGACCATGATACTGTATACATAAGCATTTGTAAACTCCTGGTATTTATTGGTTGGTGAATCATATATTGGTTTTTTATTAAATTTAGGGCTAAGAAAAAATGTTTGGCGACTCATTTTTTAATATTTTAGATGAAATATTTTGTATTAAATTTGTAGGGTTATACGAGTGTAAGACGCCTAACATGAAATAGCGCGTTAAAGTTGTTGGAAAAGTTTATCACGGCTAATATTTGGAAGGGATCATCATAAACGGATTTATAAATAGATACGATTTTTTTTATTGAATACATTTTTCAAATTTATAACGCTCATATGCATCATTCGTATCTAATGTAAAAATTCGTATATTTTTTTTCAATGCAAAAAAGAGGGAAAATATGAAAAAATTTATACATGGGAATGAGATTTTATCGTTTTTTATATAACTTTCAACATTTAGAATTTTCGATGTAGAAAATTTTACTCAATACGGATATCAATGAAATGCTGATCATATTGTTCCATTGCCATTGTCTGTTTATTTATTTTTTATTTTTTATTTTTAAAACCACGTGAACTAGATTACAGAAAGATAGACAAGAACAAAAGATAAAACAAATGTCAAACGCTATCTGATACTAAGCTATAATCAAACCGCCCGAGGACAGCGCCACTCTGGTACTTTTGACGAATCTGGAGGAGTCCCTAACATGACATCACATCCCAAATAACCAAAGTAAAGGCAATCAAATCTGAAAAAAGAAATGATCCGTATTTTTCTTTTGGTCATTAAAGACCACCACCTGTAAATACTGTAATAGGTGGAATGGTTCACACTATTCTAATTGTTGTACGTTGGTATAAAAGTTGTACGTGGGGGTTACCCAAAAAAAAAAAGATGTAATAAAATACAAGTCAATAGTAAAAATGTGGCTAAAATAATGTAAGTCTATGACTATCAGCGTGCCACTAAAATAAAAAAGAAAAAAAAGCTGATAGTTGTATCCGAAAGGAGTTAAGGCAATGTGAAGACTTTAGAGTCTTCTGGAGACAGAATGTCTAGTCTCAATTTTTTGACCTCAGAGTTGTGCCTATCTATATTTGTAGATGGGATAGGGGGACGTTTGTGTGGTCTGAGTTCAAGGTGTTTTGTGTCGTCTGACGTGTGTCCTTTGTAACGGTAATGGGGTGCGCAGTCATCCATGACTGAGAAATAGTCGATATTAAAACAACCAAAATCTTGCTCTAGTTGAAGCAATTGTTTGTTAGTTTTGTAGACGTTTTTTCCTTGTGTAAGTCTGTTTTGTAGAACTGAACGGCGGTCAGTTAAGGGGGTGATTTTCTTGTGAAAATGATCTTGAAAGTTAGTAAGGTCTTTGCACATATCTTCACGATACTCTATACGGTTGGAGGAGGTACCCCAGAGTTTAGCTCTAGTAGAAAGTTCTTCTTCATAAGCAAGACGTTTAACTTCCCTTGCTTCATATTCTTTTTGTTGTCGCACAGCTAGTTTGTGAGCTGCTTTACGTTTTCTTATACCATTTAACCAGTATATACATCCTGGTTCGTAATGTTGACCTTTAATTTTAGCCTGTCTGTTAGAAGTATAAACAGGTTCATCGGTTACATAAGGGAAGAGGTCGTTAGGAATCCAGATGCCCAACTTATCATGCCAAGTATTCTCTTCTTTGAGGAGAATGGGTTGTGAGGTGATGGCAGGTGAGTGAGTATTTGAAGCACTAAGTGAATTGTTCCCTGGGTCTAATCGAACGAGTGAGTTAAGAACTTTGGTCATAACGGCTAACGCGCCTAAAGGCTTGGGTGAGGCAGGAGGTATAGGAAAATTGTAATGTTCCTCATCTCTGAGCACTAGTCTTTTGTGATACTTTAAGTGTTGTATAGGTTTATTAATATGTTGTGAAGGTAAAAAAAGGAAATGGTGTTGTCTAGCGCGGTGAAGTTTTTCTTCAACAGTATCCACGCGTCTTTGAGATTTTTTTTTATTACCACGATTGTAGAAAACAGATCTACATGCCCGTTGAAAACGGGATTTTTGTTTATTACTCCTTTTACTACTGTCGGAGTGGTGGGAACGGAAATTGTCCAATCATTTTCGGTACATACGACGGTCTTTGTGTGTTTGAAGAAATTTATGTCCATTAGCTAGGTATGAAACATCGTAGGAGATGCCAAGATGATGTGAATGAACGTGTTTTTTGACACGATGTTGCCATTGTTTATGAATAAGGGTTGCGTGAAACTGTTTGTTATTTACGTTATCATTCAGTAACGGGGCGGGTTTCTTGATGTTGTGAAAAATGTCTAAATTATTATGATGAGAGACGCAAGCTCATCTATTGTGAGACATAATGTAAGGGGACGGGACACAACTCATCTGTGTGTGTTCAGTACCAAAGTTGTAAGTGGTGGAAAAATTACATGGTGTAAAAATACCAAAATAAAAACGATAACGTTTATAGGAAAAGTTAAAGAAAGTTTTTGTCCGGGAATTTCTATGTGTGACTTTATCAGCACGTGATTTGACGAGAAAATATCTATTGAATAATTTGGAATGAATAAGATTAAAATATTTCTTTTGGATAGAACGCGGGATAACTTTTTGGTGAGAAAAAAAGTGTTGTAACATCTTACTAATCTGAAATTTCAGATTAGGAAAGCTACAGGTGGAAGAGTAGCTAATAGGGGTTGATTTCATGTGGTAATCATTTGTGTGTATCTTAAGATGAATATCATTGGTGTTTGCTGAGGGATCAGCTAACTCAAAAAAGAAACTTTTTGATCTTCTGATTTCGTAAATCTTGTTACATCCAGCCCGATTGGGTCTGGTCACGTGGAATTTATGGAATGAGACGTCGAAAGAAAATTTTCCCAAGGGAATAGGTTTATGAAAAGTAAAAACCATATTTTTAATATGTTTTGTAAAAATAAGGTAAAAATATAATAAAAACTTCTTTCAGAGGTCGGGTGATAAGGAGAAGAACCTTTCCATAAGAAGCCACCCAGTGGTCTTCTTTCTTCTCGAACGTTAAAAACGTAAAAGGGGTGTAAATAAAGAAACAGTATTTAACTGCGGATTTCTATGTGAAAAAATGGAAAGGGAAAGAGTTTTTTGCCATTGTCTGTTTATTCATTTTTTTTTATTTTTTTTTATTTTATTACTAAAAGAGTAGTACTCCCAAAACTATTACAAAATAAGAGTAAAACATCATTTACATGATGGTACAATTAGGCGTGTATAGAATTTTGGAAATTAATCCCCTACAGGACCCCACCCTTTGAACAATACTATTCAAACTACTAGAACTACGCTAATACTTCGAATGGGGAAAAGAAAAAAAGAAAACCTAAAGACCCATCCGTAAAAAAGAATCTAAAAATAAAACAATTATATATAAGAAAATTAATAGTTCTAGAGTAGTATAGTCTATAAAAAGCACCCGATCATGGAGGATATGCATTGATATTCAGTGAATAAAGTTGTGTTCTCATGATCCGTATTTTTCTTTTGGCAAAAAAGCCACCACCTGTAAATACTGTAAGAGGCGGAATGGTTCACACTAATTTTGAGTTGTTATATGGGTATTCCTGACTCATTACGAAAATTAATATCGAGCAGAGGTAGAACCTTCTTCCAGGGAGTCATCAGGGTAACTGGTAGAAGTTCCTTTTTGTTTCTTGTTAAGCGGTTCGAGTTCTTGAATAATTATATTGTCAAGTTGTGTCTTGACGACGTCCCATTGACGTTTATTATTCTCCATAATGTTTTGTTGTAAATTTGATAGATCATTATTTTGTTGTGTATTAATGTCATTATATAAAGTAAGGTCATTAACTGGTGTACTATCTAAAGTAGGGTGGGTGGAAATAGGACTAGAGTTGGTAACCCTAAAGTCTCGAAAGGGTAAATTACCATTTTTAATGTTCTTTTGTAAATAGTCAAACCACAAACGTGATCCAGGGATACAATAAGTGTATGTTGGGGGTCTAATTTTTTTTGACTTTTTATATGGTGTGGAGTCCATCATATATATTGGTCCATCAGGTATATATGGGCGAAGTTTGTTCGGAATATCAATGTTATCAGGAACAGGGTCCATATCCGGAGGAAGAGGATAAATGATATCTTTACAGAAAGGTGTCGCTGAAGCAACAGGTTCAATATAGAGGCTAGAAGACTTTTGAGATCGAGGTACATGAATATAACTAGAACTAAAATCATGGGTAATATGATTTGTTCTCCTAATAGGGGGTACTTTCTTTTTAAAAAAAAAGAAAGGAACGTTAAAATTATAATCAGATTTTTTGATACTTCTCCTCTTGTTTGAATATCGCAGATGTGTAATCGGTTCATCTATATATTGTGATGGTGAGGTGAGAAATCCATGGCGATGAGCTAACCTGAGCTTTTGTACATCATTCAGCATTCGTAATTTGGTGTTCTTGTTGAAGACACGAGTACAATTCCGCTTAAAGCGAACCTCTTGTTTCTTTTTTGTTGAATTATTTATACTATAATTGTGGCTGAAATTATTATAACGCTTTTTGTACATATAGCGATATTTGTTGTTTTTCTTAAAAATATGTTGATGACCGTTAGCGTAATAACTAACGGTATATTTAATTCCTAATCGATTTGAATAGACTTCTTTTTTTGTGTGCGAGATCCATTTGTTGAACACATTCGATGCATGTGTACTTTTGTTGTTGTTAATTTCATTCTTTAAATTTTGAGTAGAGCACAGGAAATGATTCACTTCTGTACTAAAGAATTTCTTCTGATGCATCACACAGGCACGTCGATGATGCGACATAATGAAAGGGGATGGAATTTGACAAAAATGAAGAGTCTTTGGGGTATGTGTAAGGAAAGCAGGTTTATCTGATAATAAATCTGATGTACAATCAGGTAAACAAGGAATATAAATACCGAAATGAAAGCGATATTTTTTGTAAGAAAAATTAAAAAAAGTTTTTGTAGATCTATTACGATCGCTATTACTAGAACCACGTGATCGTATTATAGTAATTCTATCCAATAATTTTGAACGAATAAAATCAAAAAATTTTGTTTGTATTCTACGGGGTAAAACTTCTTGTAAAGAAAAAAAATGTGTGAGCATTTTATTAATTTGGTATTTGTGATTAGGGAGTATACTTGTGAAAGGAAATCTAATTGGGGTAGTATCCATCGTATAATCGTTAGTGTGGATCTTCAGATGAATTTCATTGGTGTTTTTATTAGGATCAGCAAGCTCAAAAAAGAAACTTTTTGAGCGGTGGCTATCATAAATCTTGTTATAACCAGTTCTTTTGGAGTGTGTCACGTGAAATTTTTTCATAGAGACCAAGAAAGAATTTTTTCCCACCGGAAAATGAAAAGGTTTTGATAAAGACATAATAAAAGAATGTAAAAATAATATTATCTAATAATAATAATGATGTAAAATATAAAATAATAAAATTTTTTGAAATATTGAAAATATAAGATATCGTAAAGTAATAAACTCTTTGTAATAAAGTTTGTGTATTTATTGAAAAAATATGTATATAAAAAAAAAAATAAAACTTCACTCTTCGAAAAGGGTCGTATATTTCTTTTAAAGGTTGAAACCTTTACCATATGTATATACTGTAAGATATGGAATGATGTCGTCAAAAGACGTATCCGCACTTGTTTGAGGTTTTAAGCGAAAAAAAATAATAAATGTTGTGAAGTTATAAAACTTTACTGCGCCAAATTATGAAAATTGTGAATTATCAGAAAGAGTTTTTTTGTTCTTTTTGCCATTGTCTGTTTATATCAGATATATATATAAATACTATATAAGATTAAAATCACGTGATTACGCAGCATATCTTACCTGGGGAGGGGGGTAAACGCTTAATTTCTGACAGCACCCTAATCAAAAACTACGTATATTATGGCAAATTTCAGAAGGGTAATTATATTTTAAACGTATTCATTATATTCACAAATTTAAATTATTAATTTTTTTTTAATTTAGACTTGAACATATCCATAATAATCAATTTATACATCGAGATTTCCATAGCGGAAATATATTATTTGATTTATTTAATGATCAAAAAAAAACTAAAGTAAGATATCAATGGAAAATTGGGGATCTAGGATTATCACATTCTGTAAATAATAAATCATCAAATAATGAAATCTATGGAGTTATACCTTATATTGCACCAGAAATATTTAAAGGGTCAGCATTTTCTAAAGAAGCTGATGTTTATAGTTTGGGTATGATTATGTGGGAACTTACAACAGGTTGTAAACCTTTTGCTGATGTTAAACATGATCATAGTCTTGTTTATAAAATTCTTGATGGAGAACGACCTGAAATTACCGAAGACACTCCAGAATGTTATGCTAATTTAATGAATAGTTGTTGGGACCATGATCCAAAAAAAAGACCTTCTATGAAAGTGATTCGTAATACATTTGGTAGTTGGGCTTTTAGAGGTAAAAACAAAGCAGAATTTGATCAAGCTGAAGCAAAACGAAAGAAACTGATAGAATTGAAGATTGGACATGAATTTGCTGAAAAATATCACTCGGAAGCAATTTATACAAGTAGACTATTAAGCGATATAATTTCTAAATGTTCGTTCATTAATTCATTTTCAACAATTTCATGTGGCAATAAACAAAGTATTACTAAAATAAAGATAATTATAATTTAAACTATTAACTCATAAGATTTTTTGTTATATACTTTGGATTCTAATTATATCTCAGCAGAATTAGAGCTTGATATAGATACTGAAAGGTATTTCAATTATATTTTAAGTGGTATTACACTGTATACTAATTAATTGAAATCAAATTGTTATTTAGCCTTTCATCACAAAATTTAAGTATAAAAACTCAAGAATTAAATCTTGAAACCGATGACGATAATGGTAAATATTTATTTGGCTTTTATGGTGTTTATTTTCATTTTTTTTTTGTTTATGTTAATACATATATTTTTTATTTTAACCAATTCTAAAATATTTAAAGTAGGAAAACGTATTAAAACTAGATAAACTAATTATAGACTCACGGTTATCAATAGAAGTCAATATTTAACTATTTATATAAGACTTTGTTGTATTTGTTTTTATATATTCATAATAAATATCACTTAAATTTATTTTTATGAAACATAATTTGTGTTTTAACTGATTATAATTAATTATTAAGATATTTTATAAATTAATATTAAATATAAAATTCTTAACGAACTTGTTAAATGAAGTAAGTTGCATTCTTAGAAGTTTTTAGTAGATAAAGGTTGATAATTTTTCAGTGAAAAACTTTCATTGTGAAATAAATAATATTTAGGGAAATTTTTATTCTCAAAAGTCGTACTGAACCGGTGAAATATCGTATATCTATGTCCTTTTCTTTTAATAGACGTTACATAAAAATGGGTTTCGAAATATGCAATGACGAATTTCAACTCATCCGACGTTAACGTTAACGGTACAAGAAATGACATTTTACAAAATCGAAGATTTACCAATTTGACTAAAACGCTGAAGCGTAAAGCGTTGACTATCTGTCAGGTCAAATTCGGAGCTCTATAATAAAAATACATAAATTAAAATCAATTTTATTTCAAGTTAGCTTGATAAAAATTAATGCTTAAGTAATGTAATTTTACACTTGTTGAACACTTAATTTTTAAATCTATTTATTTAGCCAAAATACTCTCTTATCCTTAATGGTACATTAGGACCCAGAAATATATATAAAAGGGTCAGGTTTGAGTTTGCGTATTTTGAACTAAAAAAATCATGGAAATCTTTCCTTTTTTAGATAATTTTTGATAATTCTAGTCAGAATTTTATTTCCTATTATAGTAACCGACTGACATTATCATAATTCCGGCCCTGAAAAAATGCGTACAGCTCATAGTAAAAAAATTTTTTCATCACCTGACCCCTATATACATATTTCTGGGTCCTGGTACATTCGTATCTATAAAATTGAAAATAAATATGGCAATATAAGAAATATTAATGTTCTTTTATTTTTCATCATGTTTATTTGTTAAATTATTTCTATCAATTTATTAGTACATTTTTCCTTCTTTTTATTAATGTTCATTGTCCGGTTTCTCTTTTGTATTATTGTCTTAGTTCATATTAAATAATAAAGTATAAATTTAATCAATATAATTTAAATAAATAATGTTTAAACCATTATAAATGTGTTTAACAGAAATTTTAGAAAATATGTAATTGAAAGTTAAAAAAAAATGTATAATGAAAAATTAAGAAAAAATTTAATGAAAAATTAAAAAAATTGACCGATCAAGATTGAATTTAAAGAAGGATGATTAGGAATAAATTTATTAATCATATAAATATTTAATTCATTTGACTGTTAATAAATGTTTAATAATTTAATCCGACATCAAAAATTATATGTTTGGGTGAAATTTTTGAGGTGATTCTGGAGACATCCACCTATACAATTAAGTAGTATTTATATTTTCCAGTAAATTCCAGTACAACTTTATTCATCTTTTAATTTCTTTTCTCAATGCAACAAAATACTTCCAAAAGTAAATAATAAACATAGCTTTAATTTAAGAGTTCAATACATAAATAACAATCCTTAATTTTACAATTTTAATGATACAACAAACCATTTCCTTCTTTTTGAAGCTTCATGTAAATGGTAAAACTTTGAAATTGCAAGTAGGAAAGGTAAGAGTTCCTTGTTTTTTGTTATTTTCGTGTCTTTTTTTTTATATGAGAACATTATTATCACATTCTTTTTTTTAGGAACTGGACTTTAGTATGAACTTTTAAATTACAAGAAGGTGTGTTTCTCAGTATTTTTTATTATTTTTGCATCTTTTTTGTTTGAAAATATTATTAATGCTCTTTCTCTCTTTTTTTAAAAAACACCTTGAACTTTGGTATGGACTTTGAAATCAAAGAAGGTGAGTTTCTCAGTATTTTTTATCATTTTTGCATCTTTTTTTATTGTTTGTTCTCTCTTCTTTTTCTTTCTTTTTTTTTAGAAACACCTTAGACTTTGGCATAGACTTTGGAATCACAAATAGAATGGTGAGTTTCTTGATTTTATATTATTTTAGTTATCTGAGAGTACTATTAGTACTCTTTTTCTTTTCTTTCAGGAATACCAGGATCTCAGTATGGTCTTTAAAATCACAGGAAGGTGAGTTTTTTAAGGGTTTTTTTTTTATTTGAGAACATTATTAACATTCTCTTTTCATTTTTTTTAGAAACGCTTTATCCTTTGAACAAACGATAAAACAGACTTTAATGATATTCATTTACCTAGTAATAATATATTTATTATATTTGCATTATTAAATTTATATTATTGAAATATTATATTTGTATTTTACAATAAAATTAATAAAATTTAAAGATACAATGTTTCAAATTTTCAACATTATTTGCAGAGGCATAAATGTAATATATATTTTTTGAAGTGTTGCAGCTACATTTTCATAATAATATATTTACATTATTAAAATGCTTAGGTTTTTAGTTATTTTTCCATAAATGTATCAATATTCACGGAGTTTTTACAGAAATAAATTTTTATATGGAAACGCATTATGAGCCAGTCAAGATTTATTCCGAAATAAAAAGTTATAACATTTAACAGGCAAGGATGTCAGAACTACTTTATGCTGTTTGTCCGCTTTACCTAAAATATCTGGTTCACATGAAAAACTTAACGTAATGAATCAGAATTGTAAGAAAAATTAGTGTTAAAAAACTATCAATCATATATTTTACTATAACAATCCATCAAATTTAAAGTATGCGAACTCAAGATTGGTGGTTTGATATAAATTACATAAATTTGAACATATATAGTTACGTAATTAAAATTTAATATGGTAAAAATGTAAGTATTAAAAGATGATTTATTATTAAAATGAAGTTATTATTATCGTAATTAAGATTTCCCAAAAAAAAAAAAAAAATGTTTAACAATATATTTATTTAATTTGCAAAATTTATCTATAAAGTAAATAAATAATAAATTGTAACATAAAAAATAATATAGAATAATAATGATATTTAAACATAATTATAATAAATAATAACTAAATTATCTTTGTGATTCCCCCGGAACAAGGGGCTCATTAAATAAATCATAAGTTATTGATAAGGTCTTTTAATTCAAGTAAATTTTCTGTTTCTTTTTCTTGAAAAATATTTGCCCTCAAAAGCTTCTGGAACGTTCTTTGTGTTAAATGGTAATAAAATATTCGATTCAGGAAAAAAAATTTGTTGTTTACAACCATTAGTAAATCGAATATACTATTCGCTATAAATAGTACTTGGAATTTCCATGTGTTTTGAGACTATAAATTCCGTGAATATGATATATTTATGGAAATAATATGGAATAAACACGGAATAAATTTTTTATAGGGTTTGTGTAAAATGACCATTTACAGCTGCTTTTGACGCCGTGGATGCATTCTGTTTTATGATTTTCTTCTTTTATTTCCGGATAAATCTTTGTTTGATCATGTGCGGTTACGTGTAATTGATCATCTGCAAGCTTAAAATGTTACTTTGTGCATTTTGTTAAATGATTTTCTTCTTTTATTTCCAAATAAATCTTGATTGCTTATGTACCGTGATAATGCATTTACGTTAATATTATTTATATTTTATGCTGGTATTTTTTTTTACACATAAAATACTGCACAGATAATTCAATATCTTTGATTTTTTCAAATTTACTTGAAAATAATGGAAGATTACGACATAAAAATTATAGTTGGCAAGGAACCAAATATTGAAGAATTTAAAGCACATTCGACAATTTTGTCTTCTAAGTCAATTTATTTTAAAAGTGCGTTGTCTTCACGATGGATAAAGAGAGAAGATGGAATCATCATTTTCTATAAATCTAATATTTTACCCTTGGTATTTGAAGTTCTTATAAAGTAAGCTTATTTTAAGCTTATTTTTAATTGTATATTTATGGTATTTGTAAAAACAACAATTTAATACTGACATAAAATTAATATTTTTTAAAATATAATTTTGAATAGGTATATTTATAAAGGAATACTTTCAGTTGAAAATAATGAAATTAATCTTATGGATGTTATCATTGCTGCCGATGAGCTTAAATTACTTGAAGTTCATCAACAACTTGAAAATCGGTTTCTTGAGAATAAATTGAATTGGAAACCAAAAGAAATTATTACGGCTTTGCAACACGATCGTTTTACCAATTTATATAATTTTGCATTAGGAATAATATATAGAAATCCTATAATTATTTTTGAATCAGAGGATTTCTCAAAAATTAAAGAAGCTCAACTTATTCAGCTTTTGAAAAGTGATGATCTTGTATTAAAAGAAATTGAAATTTTGAAATATTTAATTAAATGGGGAATTAAAAATACTGATTCTATTTTAAATGATGATTTAACTAAATGGACACCAGAGAATTTCGTGGGTCTAAAAAATACTTTACATAATTGTATTCCTCACATTCGATTTTTTAGTATGTCACCTAATGAGTATACAAAATCTACACGCCACTATAAAGATATACTACCAGATGGTCTTGATGAAGAAGTTTTGCAATATTTTTTAGATCCTACCTCCAAACTTTCATTTGATGTTTTGCCATTAAGAGGATATCCATTTGATTCTAATATTATTAATGCTAAAGATGCAGCATTAATAGCAAGTTGGGTCCATAAGAAACGAACACCTTATAATAATTATAGAGATTTACCTTCTAAATTTAAACTTATTTATCGTGCTAGTAGAGATGGTTTTGGAATTAATAATTTTCATAAAAATTGTGATAATAAGGAATCAACAGTTGTCATCATTAAGATTCGCAATTCAGGAGAGATAATTGGTGGATATAATCCATTAGAATGGCGTAGCATCAAAATAGAAGATGATGAAACATCACGTCTATTATCTCATAATCAAGATTTTTATAATGATTATAAATGTAAAGCATCAAATAGTTTTATATTTTCATTAACAAATCAAAATTTTCCTATTTTAAGCCAAATTTCCTCTAAAAAAGAAGCGATTATTTGGTGTAGAAATAAAGGACCCTGTTTTGGTCTACGAGATTTGTGTATCAAACCACTAAGACCTTCAAATAATTTTAATGTCATTTGCGAAAGCAGGCAGCACTCTTATGAAAAGAAAATCATTAACGGAGGAACTTTTGAAATAGAAGAATATGAAGTATTTCAAATTGATAAGGGATTTTCTTATTATAGAATGTTTCAATTTATTATGAAGTGGGCTATGAAAATTTTTTTATATATTATGATTATTTTTCTATATATTATAATAACAGTTATCATGATAATTATTCGTATAATTTTGCTCTACCTTTACATTGCATTATGCATAAACCTGATTTATTACGCTTTCATCATACCAGTTATATTATGGTATTTCAGTGGCATTACTAAGTTTACTGATCCCCTTGCAATTATTGTTATTTTTGTATTGTTTTTAATATTTATATTATTATTCATGGTTGCTATTAAAATAATGTGTAAGGTTGGTAAACATATAATTCCATTCATTTTTAGTTGTGGTTTTTAGATAGTTAAATATAGTATATTTGCGAATAGGGCTGTGACTATGCATTATGTACATAACGCACATCAATAACTAAAGCAAGTACACACTCAAATTATGATAAGTTTTATTTATTTGTATTCACAACATATAACTGTATTTACTTTTTTTTTTGTGACATTATTATTTTATGAAATAAAGTATTGATATATATGCTAAATCAAAAAATTTAAAAAACTTGAAAGTCATATGCAAAGTGATGTAATGTTATTACTATGATGCTGTAATGTTTCTAATTGATAACATGAATGGCATGAATCTATTTTTTTCAATGAATTTGCTAAGTTCTAACCCTTTTCATTATTAACCTATCAATATTTTCTTTTTATATCTTGTTCTGTGGTATAGAGGTGTGATCAAAATTTGGTCAATCGGATATCTGATTAGTGGTTAAAATTAATGGACATAAAATTAATATTTGTTATATTTTTATTTCATTATATTAGCAGTAACTTTGCATAGTAATTTACTGAATATTTAAAGGTTATGCTAAGTTTTAATGCTTATTGTTTAAAGTACATTTACATAATTGTATCTACAGATTTAAAATATTTTAGCTAAATTTACTTGCAAAATTGATGCAACATTATGGCAATTTATTGTTTTAATACCTCTGCAACATTTTGACAAAGTTCTCAAAAAAATTTTAACTTTCTGTAAAGTTTGGAAATGTTATTCATGCAAATCATAAAGATTCTGAACTGTTATGGTTCTAAAGTTTCTATTTAATTTAACTATTAACAAAATTGTTAATGAGGTGAAATATTTAAAAATATTTGCAATATTACTAGCAGTAGCCCGTTGCTTCGCTTTATAACGTGGGGGTCATTTTAATTTTGGGAGAAAATTGCAAAGGTATAATTCCGGCCATAATTATACAAATTTCCTTTTCCTGCACATTAGTAATTAGAATGAATTTGCCGATCAATTGGTCTTAACTATTAAGCATAGATCAGGCGCAAATACATTAATAGATCATTGTATGTCTCCCTATAAAAAAAAAAATTCTTTAAAATGTACTTAAAATATACTTATGTATTTTTTAAAATATACTTAAAATATACTTATATATTTTTAAAATATACCTAAAATATACTTAACATTTTAAAATATACTTACCCTATAAAAAAAGAAAATTCGGNCAAAACATTGAACAATATCTCTAAGATAAATCTGAAGATGAGATTTAATCTAATTATCATCAAAAAGGAAAAATTTTATTAATAAATAAATGCAAATAACAATCTTTATATATAAGACAAAGTAAGTTTAAATTACCTCATTTAAAAAATCTGAACATATATCAGATGAATTATTCAAACTTTTCAATGCACATTTATCCTCTCTATTTCTATACCAACTTTGACTTTCAATATCCCAATGATAAATATATCCTTCAGGCCATTCAGCTGAATAAATCCTGTCTCTTATACACATCTATACTTATGTATTTTTTAAAATATACTTAAAATATACTTATATATTTTTAAAATATACCTAAAATATACTTAACATTTTAAAATATACTTAAAATATACTTAAAATTGCAATTTTAAGTATATTATAAGTACATTTTAAAATTTTAAGTACATTTTAGATATATTTTAAAATATATAAGTACATTTTAAGTATATTTTAAAGAAATTTTTTTTCATAGGGTCTATAAGAAAACGTAATAGATCAGGTGTAGAGGCGCAGATGAATAACACTTAATTGGACAATTCAAAGATTATTTATATAGGCTAATCTAAACGTTAGTCACACAAAAACAATTTTTTTAATTATATAGATATATAGATGTGTATACTTGCTAATATTATACTGCATTATAAATATAGTTAAAAATACATTTTAAAAATACATGAAGTTAATTATTATGGTAATTTTATGGAATCTCAAAAATGGAAAGCAAATATTTATTGATTATGGAGTAGAATTTTAATAAACTCAAAATGGAATGTAATATAAATTGGCATCCCAACTTGCAAAGTACGGTAATATGTTCGCATAATAAGGAAATTATTCACTGCAATTTGGTAACCTAATAATATACATTGATTTTTTAATTTGATTACATTATGCAATAAATTAATATATACTGTATATTCATTTTATGGCATGCACAAAATGTACTTATAAATAAAATAGTATAAAGTTAGTGGATTTTGGTTTATCAAGAGAAATAAGTCTAAAGCTCCAAACAGGTTAGGTCAGGTAATTGACTGACCTGATCTGGTGGGACATAAATTTGATGATCTGACCTTAACATCATGGGTCAGGTTGAGTACCCGATTCAATCCAAAAGTTAATTAATTTTTCCGTATACATTTCGTATATATTGAAATAAATTGTGTATTAAATATATGAAATTATCATACGGTTAAACGTATACAAACGTATCATTTCCATATACGGATTTCTTATAGGGGAGCAGGGGAGCAGATAACTTCGGTGTAGTACCTTACAATCCTTACATTGGCCTTAATATTTAAATCATATTAAAAATAAAAGTCAGCAATATAAATTAAATTCAATCAATTCTTGAAATAAGTATAAAAAGTTTTACATTATTATTTTTAGTTTGATACATTAGAAATAGCTTTATATACTTATTATTATTTTGATAATTTATATTTAATAATTAAAGTTATAAATAAAAGGATTTATTTAAATTGCAAACTAAGAAATTTGTAAATACTCTAGCTTTAGTGTTTAAATAATTCTTAAAAAAGAATACAATATTTAATATTTGGATAAAATATAAAAAAAAGAAATTATTTAAATTACAAACTAAGAATCTTGTAAATTATTTTACTAGTACTCTAACCTTAGTGTTTAAATAAATCCAAAAAGAATAAAATAAAAAACAACTTCTGTTAAATGCATGATATCATATATCACTTAAGAATCTATAAATCCTTTTAATTAAAAATACAAACAATTAATTAATTATCTGTTTTAATGTATAAATAAATAAATAAAGTTAATTAATTTGCAAGATTAATTTTTTATATATCACAGTGCATACCTGATGATCCCGAATCTTTAATTATACAATCATTCAAATCTTCACTCATTTCATTTGCTTTTATACTAGCTTGTGAACCTTCACTTTCAAGAATTTCATTTGATTTTTTACCAGTAAAATTAAGTGAGCGACTTGTATAACATGCTTTAGGATGAGATTTAGTAGCAAGATTGTTATGTCCAGTTGGTGCATTTATAAATTCCATAATGTTGCTTTTTAATTCTTCACTGACTTCACGAGAACGGAAAATCCATTTTTCAATAATTTTTAATACTTCTTTAGAAGTTGGTCTTTTTAATGGATCTTCATCCCAACACTTTTCCATCAAATCTACATAACATTGTGGAGTATTTTCAATAATTTCAGGACGTTCACCTTTACAAATACTTAAACTAAGTTGAATATCATGTGCTCTATTATTAAATGGTGGTACTCCAGATGTAAATTCCCACATAATCATAGAAAAACTATAAATATCACTTGCTGGTGTATAAGGTTTGCCTCTTAAAATTTCAGGTGCCATAAATGGCATAACGCCAAAAATACCATCTTCATCTTTTAAAAATGATTTTACAGGTTGGCATAATCCTAAATCACTAATAAACAAACTATCCTTATTCTTATCATTATGATTTAAAATATTGCCATCATGAAAATCACAATGAATAAGATTTTTTTCATGTATCTTACTAAGTCCAGAAATAATTTCGTACAACATATATAATTTTTGATTCCAATTATTTTCAACTATCCTTGTTAAATTTCCTCTTAAATTACCTTTATTTGCATAATCCATTACTACCATATATTTTGAAGTATTTGGATCTTCTGTAAATCCATAAAAATATATGATATTATTCGAATTTAAAACACTTGTATGATATTCCCACTATAAATAATAATAATAATTCATTAATATAAATGAATATTAATTTAAATTAAAATAAAAAATAATATACTAATAAACTATCATACTTCTTTTAAAAATTCATTCAAATTTTCATTTAAAGGCTTATGGAACTTAAGAATTACTACTTCATCTTTATTATTCTTTAACCAAGTAGCTTTATATATAGTACTATATCCTCCTTCATCAAGATATTCAACGTTTTTAAATTTGCTATAAGGAATCCATTTTAATCCATTTTTAAGAATAAAATCATCTATAATTGCATTTTTACTTTTTCCAAATCTATAAATTTAAATAGTTAAAATTATATTATAGCTTGTGTTATAATTACACTAAAATAAATTATTACTTACTCTAAAATTTAAATAAGAATTTAATATAATATAAATCTTAGTTTTAGGATAAATATACATAATAACCTATAATTTACAACTTACCAACTAAAGTAACAGATATTTTTTTAAAAGAAAAAATTCAGTTAACAAATAAATATCATATAAAATATATAACAATAGAAATATAAATATCTTACAAGCTATATCATAAATAATTATTCAGATAAAGAAATTAGTTTAAATTACATGCCAATATTATATAAATAAGTAATAATAGAATTAAATACTAAATAACTTATAACTTACGTTCTATTAAATAAAGAAATTAGTTAGTCTAAATTATATGTAAATATTATATAAATAAGTAATAATAGAATTAAATAAATAACTTACTCCCTATATTATTTAAATAAAGAAATTAGTTAGATTAAATTGCATGTAAATACTATTATAAATAAACAATAATAGAATTAAATAAATAACTTACACCCTATATTATTCAATAATTTTTTAAAAAAAGAAATTAGTCGGATTAAATTATATATAAATATTATATAAATAAACAATAATAGAATATAACTTATGACTTACCAACTAAAATAAATTGCAAAATAATTTTTAAATAAAGAAATTAATTAGGTAAAATTATATATAAAAATTATACATTAATAGAATTAAACAAATAACTTACACCCTATATTATTTAATAATTTTTTAAATAAAAAAATTAGTTAGATTAAATTGTATGTAAATACTATTATAAATAAATAATAATAGAATTAAATAAATAACTTACACCCTATATTATTTAATAATTTTTTAAATAAAGAAAATAGTTAGATTAAATTATATAAATATTATATAAATAAGTAATAATAGAATTAGATAAATAACTTATAACTTACCAACTAAAATAATAAAAATAATTTTTTATATAAAGAAATTAGTTAGTTTAAATTATATTTAAACATTATATAAATAAGTAATAATAAAATTAAATATATAACTTATGACTTACCAACTAAAATTAATTACAAAATATTTTTTTAAATAAAGAAATTAATTTATAAATATAATAAAAATAAGTAATAATAAAATTAAATAAATAATTAGACTAAATTACATGTATATTATATAAATAATAATAATAAAATTAAATAAATAACTTATAACTTACCAACTAAAATAAATTGCAAAATAATTTTTTGAATAAAAAAATTAGTTAGTTAAATTATATATAAATATTATATAGTAATAGAATTAAACAAAATAACTTACACCCTATATAGATTATTTAATAATTTTTTAAATAAAGAAATTAGTTAGATTAAATT